AAACATCCTGGTACTAGAAACTTCGCATAAAATGGGAAATGTGGCGTGAGGCGCAAGGCAACCTCTCGTCTCTCTGATCAGGATTTAATATAAACTGAAAATTGGAAACCCATGACCCTTTCATGAAGAAGAAGTAAGCATATAATTCACTAACCTGTCACATGTTACAGTAGAGGTTACTATGATGCTTTTAAGATTATACAGATAGCAATAAAAAAAATTTATGGACAGTTTTGAAATGGTGAATTTCACGCCGTGTTGCTGAATGCAAAACATCTCTAGTCACACTGAGTTCCAAAGATGACAGTATTCTTATTTAGAATCACCCGGTAAAATTTTATTAATGTTTTGTTTTGAAGTGGTGGAGAATATATATCGGTCATTCAAGTGGTCAGTCATCCAGACAATTTGTCATCTGGTGTTCAAAGAATAATTGCCTGAAGCTTTGCTAAATTCATTTTCTTAAACCTTGCCATTCTTTATGACGTTACCGATGTTCAGCACCTGGAATAATCAGCCCCGGTTTTCACTCTTCTTTTGTTGGGACTGCATCACTATATTACGATTTTCAGACATCAGCTGTTTTCAATAAGGAGCATAATCGTGGATAAATAAATAGTGCATATCGATTTTTGCTTTCTTCAAGAGCGACATTACACCTAACGTTTTCCCGTAGCTGTCGTTTCATCTTAGGGTTCTATGAGAAAGCTGGAATTGAATCATCTGTAATTTAGTATTTTGAACCTTCTAATTTGCTTTTTGCTGTTTTGAACTTTCATATCTGGCATTTTTGGCCAGAATTTCGGCAGCTGGATTGCGGAGATCTTTACTGCTCGCCATATTATGAACCATTTTTCGTATAGACTATTCATTCATAAGAGAGATTGTTTTTTTTACCTTGAATTCACCGTATTTTTCACCAAATTATGGGAATGATGACTGTCGTTCCACTTTGTCTGTAATTATTCGTGCTTGATTTCTCTTGCCTTCTTCAGTTTGGAAGAAAGGACAGGACATCGACTGCTTATCATTAATTGTTTGTGCGTATGTTGGCTGCTATTATTCTTTTGGATACATCGCGATAATTTTTGCTGTCAAATTTATTTAGACTTTCCTGTGAGCTTAAGCGATCCGGTAGAACCCCCAGACGCTTAATGCATTTAACCTGACACATTATAGTTAATCTATTTTCTACTTTATATGGCTCTTTTGAGATCGACAGTCTGGTTTAAAACGAAATTGTTTAACGATCTGCTATAATTGTCTAAATTCAGCGTACCAAAACTATGCCTGCACACTTTTAAACACTGCCTTACGTTTCCAATATTGGTGCCAGCATATTATGGTCGTGGAGCAATTATGCTTTAAGCTATCGTGTTCTGCAAACAGGCCATGACGCATGGATACTAGCTTCAACCTATTTCGATTTTTATTAACTTGCTGATCCCCCTGATTAATGATTGGCTTGCAATCATATTTAATATTGCTCAGTACAGAATACAGTGGCAAATGGCGACAAGAAATGTGGGGATGCTCTAGCTCCCTTGCGACATCTAATAAGTACAGTAAGTCAAGAACCCATTGAGCAAGGAATTCACTCCACTGTATTTCGGTACGCCGGCTGAGAAACTGGTACAAAGTCATTGACATGAAGAAAATATGTTCTGTTGTGGTCATGCTAGAGCGTGCGAGACATTCGATCATGTTGTCGTAGATGTGTACGTAACAGCTGCAATTTTCTTTGACCCAAACAGCTGACTGAAGAAAGATTTGTTTGCTGTTATTTTTCTTAATGTATGTGTGTGAAAAAAAAACTCTGATCAAATGTTGTTCAGGAGGTTGCGGCGAAGACTCAGAAACTGAGTAAAATTGAAGAGGAAAACAGAAAATTGCTGAGTCTGCTGAACGAAAGACAAATCAACGGTTATGGCGGCCTACGCTCGGCACCTGTAGAATGCTTCGACACTTTCCATGGAAATTCCGTTCAAGCTACTCTCATGTGATAACTGTGCACTGCGTATTCAAGAAACAGTCCCTGTTTAAAGCTTGACTTCTTAACTGTGATTTCAGTGTCATTTCAAAAATATTCATGTATAAGCCATTATTGGATTGATGAATGAGTAAAATAATTCTGCGCATGTCATTTTCATGACGGCTTATCTTAGAGCTTATTTTTAAATCTGTCAACGCGATGCTGTTTTGTTTTAAGACCTGTAGCACAAAGTATGTAAATTTATTAACTCTGTTTATTCATTCCAGTGAATTTCTAGTTCTGTTAAATGGAAATAAAAAATATTTTTATTTTTCATGATGCGAGGTGTGTGCATTTTTAGGCGTGATCTCTGCATTCGATATCAGGAACAGAATGCTAAAAAATGATGGTGCCTCTAATGAACGAAATTGGTAGACACAGGGTTCCATTTCATTGATTTTCACAGCCCGCTATTCCTTTCTGGTTGCAGAGGCTGCAGCTTCAGGCAATGCTGCTAATCGCCCTAGACTGCCATTAATTGGGCAAGCTCCTCGAGCGAGGAAGTGTCCAGTATTCAGTGCACTCGAGCTATCTGTCCATCGGCATGCAACTTTGGTACGGTTTCACGTCTAACAAACCATTGGTTAAACCCGTGGTCAATGTTTCGTATTCCTTTTGGATTATCGGTCGGTGCTTTTATAAACTGCGCTGATAATATAGAGATCAAAACATTTGTGATTCATTGTTGCATATGAAATTCGACCTTGAATGAACCAATTATTCACAATCGGCATTAGTCACATGATAATTGCATCGGTGAACAGAGACGTCGTACCTTCGAAATTAAGCTGTTTAGGCAGGAAAACAGGAGGCTTTTCCGCATGAAAGACGACGTTCCCAGTCACATTGGGGGCATCACGGTGGTGATCGTCAGTAATAATGACGAAATTGGAGGTTTGGCGACTGTG